TCCATCCTCAGCAGGTCCGGCAGAAGTAAAAACAGCCCTTGTCTGTGTCTCGGTGCGGCCTCGTCTCTGCTGGTGTGGCGTTCGGTTTGGGGTCTCCTCAGGAGGGTGAGGCTGTTGGCCCTTGGTCATTCATGGGCGGGGGGGCGGCACACTGGTGATGGACCCCTCCAGGGCCTCTGTGACTCGGCCACAAGGGGGCGTGCTCACCCCCGAGGGGCTCCTGGCTGTGTTCGGTTCTGTCACCTGCTCATTGACACGTGCTGTGGATCGTGAGAAATTGAACACGCTGTCTCAGAAGGCACCAGATGTGTCATGAAAAACCGGAAGCTCGTTGTTATTTATTTAAGCGATCCAGATGTGTTCAATTCAGCACTTTTACAGATTACTTCCCTGCTTGTCATTCGGGTGTGTCATAAACTGTTTGCGTCTGTGAAAAGCATGGTCTCTAGACCCTTCTTAATGTGGAGATGACATTTCCATAAGAATGGGCAGGAAATTCCCTCTCAGTCCACTAAACATCTTTTTACCCTTTTCTGACTTGCATTTGATGTGAATCTCATCATCATTATCACCACCACTGATGGGTTGAAGAAGAGGCAGTTGAATGATCACAAGTGAAGGACAGGAACTCTAGATCAGGGGTTCCCAGTACTGGCCCGGGGGACCCCCACACACCTGCTGGTTTTTGTTCTACTGAAGCACCCAGTTAAATAACTGGGCCCTTAACAGGCCCATTACCAGGTTTAGTTCAGACTCTGTGAAGGGTTTTAATTCCTTTCTTCAATAACTTTAAATCTCTACCCTCTGGGTGGGGAGAAAAATCTCAGAGGTTCTAACCAAGCAAGCTGCTGGTTCAGTTAAGGGCTCCTGTAAAGCTGCAGTGAAACCCAGCAGATGTGGGGGTCCCCCAGACCAGGAGTCTGAGCCCCTGTTCCGGAGTGGTACCCGTCAGAGCCTTTGAGGGGTCACCCTTAAGACATCCGCCTCTAAACACTAGGAACACGTCCGATTTCACCTCGTGAGCAGGCGGTTTGTGCTGTAGTGCGTTTCAAAGGCCGCGAGGAATTGAAATGCAGCATCCGCTAGGACCTCAGCTGGCCGTTCGTGACTTCATTGGATCGATCCATTTGTTAGATCGGTCAGAACGCGTGTTCCCGGTCCTTGCACATGGATTTCGGGGCGGGATGAGGACGGAGCTGTACCGATGTGGGGTCAGAGACCAGGGGGTCTCTCGCCTGCTCCTCCACATCCCGCGTGCGCGCCCCAGTACTGTTCACACCCTCCGGTGCCCAGCATTTCTGCACGCCAGGGGGAGAATTGGTGTCGGCAGTGGGATGTTCGCGAGAGTCGTGGTGTGATCCGTTCACATGGGCGTGTGATCGGTTCAGTCTGAAGTGGGTTCCACTTCCTTGAAACCGGGGAGACTCAGATTTGCGAGTTTCTTCTCTTAACATTATCGGCAGACAGCAGACATCTGGTTCTGATGATCAGTAGGTGTGTTGTGGCAGCAGAGATGGCCTCTGTGTGCAGCCACAGCATTGGGGTGGATGTGAAGGGCCGGTCTTCACATATGGGCGGTTCTGGCTACTGACACGAGCGCATGTGTATCTATAGACGGGTTCCAGCGAATAATTAATTGTTATATTTAGTGCAGAGGTCCTCACTAGCATTTAATTATCAAGCACGTAAAAAAGATTACAAAGAGAAAAGGTCGTTCAGTCCATCCAACTCCTTAATCCACCTGATCCTTAGTTTCCGATGCTCTTCCACATAGTTTCGCCGGTGTCCTCTGGATCGTGTTTCGCTGTTCATCCAGAGGAAATCTTCTGGAGAGACATTGTAGATGCCTGCGAGGGTCTTACATGCAGGATTCGGGTCCCCTTGTTGTCTTCTGTGTTCAACAGTAAAGTGACTCAGTTCTTCATGCCCACCGGAAGAGCGCATTGCTTTGTTCCCAGACAAATGGAAGTGTTTATTTTCACAATATTTTGAATATGTTGAATCTCAAACACGAGACTTGCGTGTGAAGCTGCTTATCAATGAGGGACTGTGGATTTTTATCCAGGCCTCACGTTTGTGAGGTTTTATTCTGATTGGGCCCTGACGTTGTGCGCTTGTCTTTGTGAATATTCTGGTGCTGATTATTTCCATCTCTGCGCTGTCTCCCTCAGGACTGGCAGCCCCCCTTTGCAGTGGAGGTGGACAACTTTCGCTTCACACCTCGGATCCAGAGACTGAACGAGCTGGAGGTCAGTCCGTCCGTCGGTCTCTGTCCGGTGATCACATCGCTAGCAGCAGCAGCAGCAGCCTGTGTATTAACCCTCCTCTCCCCCTGTCAGGCCGAGACGCGTGTGAAATTGAACTATCTCGACCGGATCGCCAAGTTCTGGGAGATCCAGGGCTCGTCTCTGAAGCTCCCCAACATCGAGAGGCGCATCCTTGACCTCTACAGCCTGGCCAAGGTACTGTCCAGTCGCCTGCCCTGGGCTGAGACCCTTCACTGACCCGGCCTGGTCTCACCGTCCTGTGTGTGTGTGCCGTTTCCAGATAGTGGCGGACGAGGGCGGGTTCGAGGCCGTGAGCAAGGACCGGCGCTGGGCCCGTGTGGCCCAGCGGCTGGGCTACCCGCCGGGGAAGAACATCGGCTCCCTGCTGCGCTCGCACTACGAGAGGATCGTCTACCCCTTCGAGATGTTCCACTCCGGGGCCAGCCTCATGGTAACCCCCCCGTCTGAGCCTCTCGCTGGTGCTGCCTGCCCCAGTCAGCCACCTAGTGCATTGGTTCAGCTCAAGGTGCTTCATTGATTAATTAGAAATAGCAGTATTGTCAGAGGAATTGCCCATCACATACGATAGTTGTGTGATTTGTTTCCTCTCTTAAGCAGCATCTGCCCTTTCCTGTTGCCGTCTCCCTCTGTGTCTCCCAGCAGCGTCTCTGTGTCTCACAGCAGTGTCTCTCTGTCTCTCTCTCTCACGCAGTCTGTCTCTGTGTCACAGCAGTGTAAGCCCAGGCAGCCCTACGACAGTGAGGAGGTGGACAAGGAGTACAAGCCCCACTCCATCCCCCTGCGGCAGTCGGTGCAGCCCTCGAAGACCATCAGCTACGGTCGCCGTGCCAACCGCCTCCAGCCAGACGTGAGTAAAGAGCACCCCTAGAATTCACCGTGTGGCCCAGAATGCCCTCTATTTCCAAACTTACGGGACCTGTATACACTGTACTTCAAAATGCGTACTGCAGCCCTGCGTGAGACTGAATCAGCCAGATACACTGTGATTGTAATAGAACAATATAAATATTTTGTCCACTGTGCCTTGTCCACTACAACCACATAGTATCTTCCCAAACATACTGTATTACCAGACTTTAGCCCCCTTATAGCATAATGTTGTATCCCCGAACATACTGTGATTCTGTATGCTGGTGTAGTGTATTCCCATGTACGGATAAACTGTTGTCCACATATTAATAAGTCACAGTTCGACGGTATGGCACCACACTCTGACACCATGTGACTGTACTCCAGTGCACTGCCAAAACCCAGCAAGCCTCCTGTGTGGTCAGTGTGAATGTATAGTAGGAAGTAGAATACTAATACTGCGCCATCACCCAGCTTGTTCTGCCTCCAGTATAAGTATATGCAGGAGTAGGAAACAACAGAATACTCTGTCGTTCTGATTGTTATAGTGTTCCAAACACAGATGCGTTGAAACTCCCTCATTCTAATGGGAGTTTGAACACTACAGTGCTCATCTGCTATGAGCCCATATTGCAACACTGAGCATTTTCATCAGTATTTGTAAGTGTACTTGTAGCCCCATATGTTAAAATCTGAGAATGATCCCTGCTAGGGTAAGACTGATTGTGTCTGTAGCTTTGAGCCCCAATACATTTCTGCTTGGAACCCCATTCACAAAGTGCTGCACCCTACTACCGTGGTGCATGAAGTCTCCTCAGTATGAGAGGGTGGGGGCTCTGGGACTCCCAGGATGAAGACGATCCCCTGCGCCTGTGCACTGAAGTTCCGTCCCCTGTGTGGCAGATGTGTCCTGTTATGACTGTATCAGGACTGCCCCACCATGGCCCACAAACACTGCCTTTCAGAACCTCTCCCCCGTCTCTTCCTTCCCATCCCTTTCTCCATCGTCCTCTCCTTCCTCCCACCCTCTCCCCCCTCTGTCCTCTGGCCTCTGCGCTGTCTCCTCCTCGCTCCCTGTCCCCGTATGTACCACTCTGGCTGGGCAGGCTGCCTCAGGGTAGGAATGGCGTCTCCTAATGTGTGGGCTTCATCAGGTGTTTTTGTTTAACCGTTGTTTATATAATTTGCTGATTTGCGTTCGTGCAATTAAATTAGCTTAATTCCCCTCCTCTCGAGTTAATTGGTTAATTAGTGAACCCCCTGGTGTGTTTGTGCTCTGGAGGACTCCCAGCATGCTCTGTGTCTTGTGTGTGGCTTTATAATGGCTTTTGCAATGCACACCTGCGCTCGCTTGCTCGCTCCCCAGTCTAATTGCACTCACACATTCTTCTCTCCCCTATTCACTCTCATCCTCACACATTCATCCATTCTCCCTCTCCTCCCTCTTTCCCCCTTCTCCCACATTCACCCCGTTCTCTCTCTCCTCACATCTACTCCCTCCTTCTTCTCCTCCTCACACATTAACCCCCTCCTTCTCTCCCTCCCCCGTCTGTTGTTCAGTACATCTCTCTCCGTGTCCTGTCTGTACTCTCCTGTCCATTGGTCTGTTCTTGTCTCCATGCAGGACCCCGACGGCTCGCCTCCCTTCCCCCACAGCACCGCCCTCAACCCCCACCACACTGCGGTACTGTCTGTCTGTCTGCCTGCCTGACTGCCTGTCCGTCTGTCTGTCTGTCCTGCATACACATCCCTGTCCATCGGTGGATCTGTCATCGCCCATATCTGTCTGTCAACTCGTGACCCATCTCTGTCTC